ACTTTGCACATCCTGCCATGCCTCGTGGCTTTATATCCGTGGTCATTTTTGGAACCAGCCCCTCTATTATTTTCCAAGTGTAAATTATTCTGCACCCCCCCCCCCCCCGCGCTCTGAAGCATACAGATTTAAAATGTTTAAGCTGTCACAATAATTTAATGCTTTATTGAGTGGAACCACGCAGTAAAAGACCTTTGCACGCTCTCCAGGTCAGCAATTTCTCCGGCTTTGGATGGGGCTACTAGTGTGCAACAATATTCCACCCCTAGAGAGCATTAGTGTATTAAAACGTATCATCATGTGCATGGCATCCCTTGTTTTTTTCCCTTGTCATTTTTCTTGCAGTTGTGACAGCTACTTTATTATGTTATAAATAAATAAAATAAATGTTTATTCAGGTAAGGTACATACAAGAGATTTTACAAAATTTGATAGATTTATAGATAGAGCTGGTACATACAATGCTTAAAGCCACTATTACGCAAAGCGTTTCGGGCAGAAACGTGCAAAAAAATGCACGTTTTCGGGCAAAAATGTTCTTTGAAGGTAATGTCTTCCGACATGATTACTCCTAAATCTTTTATCTTTTATACTTGGAGTGGGTTCTGTACGTTCTGCTCGCCTGGCCTGGCAGTTTTACTACTTCAACTAGGCTATCGTACAGCGGTTTGGTGTCTCGAGTTGGTAATTCAGCCCGTCCTCCTAAGGTTTCCCAACATCAAGAAAACGGTTAATTTAAAGTGTCCTAACCTACCAGAGGACCCAAAACAGAAAACGGGACAGTACGTCACTTTCGCCAACCGCTTCCATTTTCTAGTACGACAATTTTTGGCCTTATGTAACGCATGTGAGCGAAATGCGACGTTCTTTGTAGGAGGAGAAGGTTGGATAATTACCCCTTTTGGAGGAAACCAGCGCTATTGATAGGTGATGGGATTCGAACCCATTTACCTGGCTGGAGGGACCTCATGCTGGGCAACTGCTAAACAACGGTTCCCTCCGAAGATCAGCTGGCACAGTCATACAGCATCCCCTGACAGTTGTGCGGGGGTGAGGTAGCAATGTGTGTCAGCGAGCGAACTGTTCATCTCAAGACAAGCGGTTCGTATACTTAAAATCCGTTGTATCCAGAGATCTTACGCTTGGGTGGATAGCTCTATCAAAGAGCAGCTTAGATGACAGGTCTGGTTAAGATTTATTATATACCAAGAGATTGTTAAAAGTTGTGCTTTAAAGAAGGTAATGGGGAATCACTGTGCAGGATCAACGTAAAGTAAGGATCCAAGGACACAATCGACTTGAGAATGGTCCAGGACGGACCGAAACGTCGTCGTCCATTCACTTTCTAGTGTGTGGTCTGGTCAACATATTTCAGCCTATTGTGACTCCTCGTCTGCATAGGGATCCAACTCTCATATTCCAGCTCCGGTTTAACACCCCAGATGTCTCTTCTTGTGCCGCTAAGCGTTTAGATGTGGCGGGAAAGTAGTTGCGATGGTGTAAGCTGTTAACTCTTATGTTTTAACAACTCCATCCATGCCAGCCTTGCCGTTAAGCTCTGGTCAAGCTGCACTTCCCAAAAACCTGCCGTCATTCTTTAGTGCCTTAAAGTTTTGGAGAATCTGAAAAAAAGTATTGAATCGTAAACAAAAAACTTTAACAGGACTTTTTTTATAGGAAAAAATCATTGGCTAAAACTTCAAGTTGTGTCATAAATTGCTCCATTGTAACCACTGAACCACAACCCTATAGTTTACAAATATTATAAAGTTTGACTCGAATAAGTGCTTCCATGACGCTCTCAAGAACAAAAACATTACAATATTTTTGTGCAGAAATATGCAATAGCCTAGTAAGTAACTTCCACCCCCCCCCCCTCAGCCTATCACTAAGTATTGCAAGCCTAGTAAGTTATCTTCCTCTCCCTCCCCCAGCTTATCACAAGGTCTTGCAAGCCTAGTAAGTTACCCCAGCCTGCCACTAGGTATTGTAAGCTTAGTAAATGTTCCTAGCCTATCACTAAGTATGCCTAGCCTACTAAATGATAACAGAGAATTACATCTCCGTCTATCTTTCATATTCTAAAGCACAGTATTGTGGTAAATATGCAAGCAAACATTAAAATGAAAGTCATTGGACATACAGCTGCAATACACTACACGAGTAAGACAAGCAGTGAAGGTTTCAGTGTTTTGATAAGAAACAATTGACAGAACCCAACGTGCCAGCCCTTTCGAACCTTCAACCTGCTCACTACAACCACACGCCAACCACCAGCCCACGCCAACCAACACCCACACCACACACGCCAACACCTCCCTTCCTCTAAAAAGAGGGGTTCTGGTGCATGGAAAGTGTCAACAGCATTAGTGACACCACGATAGAGTGCGTCAGCGTCTTGAGAAGGATCCCAGATGAGATGCTGCTCACCTGCCACTCAACGCACTGATAGCTACAGTATGTGGAAAATATTGGTGTATTGTACATGGTGCTGTGGCGGTATGTCCACTCACAGGAGTGAAGCTACTGAGGCGGTATGTCCGCTCACAGGAGTGAAGTTACTGAGGCGGTATGTCCACTCACAGAAGTGAAGTTACTGAGGTGGTATGTCCACTCACAGAAGTGAAGCTACTGAGGCGGTATGTCCACTCACAGAAGTGAAGTTACTGAGGTGGTATGTCCACTCACAGAAGTGAAGCTACTGAGGCGGTATGTCCGCTCACAGAAGTGAAGCTACTGAGGCGGTATGTCCACTCAGAAGTGAAGTTACTGAGGCGGTATGTCCACTCACAGGAGTGAAGCTACTGAGGCGGTATGTCCACTCACAGGAGTGAAGCTACTGAGGCGGTATGTCCACTCACAGGAGTGAAGCTACTGAGGTGGTATGTCCACTCAGAAGTGAAGTTACTGAGGCGGTATGTCCACTCACAGAAGTGAAGCTACTGAGGCGGTATGTCCACTCACAGAAGTGAAGCTACTGAGGCGGTATGTCCGCTCACAGAAGTGAAGCTACTGAGGCGGTATGTCCACTCACAGAAGTGAAGCTACTGAGGCGGTATGTCCACTCACAGAAGTGAAGCTACTGAGGCGGTATGTCCACTCAGAAGTGAAGCTACTGAGGCGGTATGTCCACTCACAGAAGTGAAGCTACTGAGGCGGTATGTCCACTCACAGAAGTGAAGCTACTGAGGCGGTATGTCCACTCACAGAAGTGAAGCTACTGAGGCGGTATGTCTACTCACAGGAGGAATAACTTCTCGAGTTGAAGCAACCGAATATGTAGCCGATTATATATATATATATAATATATATATAATATATATACATACGGTTACGCTAAATTGTATTCACTTCTACTCTGCCTATGGAAATGTTAACTGTCGCGAAACGCATATCTTAGCGTCAGGCCAAAATTAAACATTTATAGAAAAAAATCAAATTAAAGTTTTATTTAAATAAAAATAAAACTGCAAATTACCTCAAGCCCATCAGCAAAAATCTGCTACAGAACTATAACAAAGTCTGTCTTCAGATAACACACAGCCCCTCTGTTTAAGTCCCTTAAACATGCTAAACATGTTAAGGGACTTAAGATTTAAGTGCTCGTTTGCAATGCGTTCTCATAGCACCATCATCTACGGGTGGCAATTCTGACAGATCATCCCGTATGAATGATTAACACGGCCTTATATATGCACAACGCTGGCTCTCACATGTATGAACGAGCATACATAACACTCCTTATATCAATAATAACTCTTACAAGTTGAATATATAAATATATTAACAAAAGCGTGCCACTTCCTGATTGTATACATAAGTAAATTATTTAACAACTGCTACTTGAATGTTTCACAACATAGGGAATAACTAATGTCACAAGAGGCTGAAACCATGAACCTGCACGGTAAAATTGATATAATATACGTAGTTATGACATAGTGAAACGTCATAATTAAATAAATAAATCTTAGTAAAATATCACTAGGCTGCGAATGACGCATTGCAATTATACATTAAACTTGCAGAAACGCCTTGACTCTAAACCCACGGAAACGCGTTACTAATACACATATCGTTACGATCTGCTTACCAAGGACTGATACTAGGCGATAATTAAGGTAAATCACATAGACGGCATCGTAGAGAGGTGAACCAAGAGTAGAATTCACCAGCCCCTCAAGTGCAGCCTCACCGGGAAATATTGCCGCCATTAACACGCAGAGTCTTACGGTCCGTGACCTGATCGACCTCACTGACGGCAGACGGAGTTTTCAATGTGTCCTCTAGTAATGCGTCTCATTTTGGACGTTATGGTCCCTCAACGTACAAAATAGTAGTCTTGAGAATGGTCCAGGACGGACCGAAACGTCGTCGTCGCTTCACTTTCTAGTGTGTGGTCTGGTTAACAAAATGGTATAAGTAGCGGTTCAGGAATATCCACATTGTCAATGCATGTAACAGTCTAGAACCGATTAGATGTTATAACTCTTTTTATAATGTGACGATTGACAGAACCATCAGTTCAAATAATTAACTAAGGTAAGTTCAAAGAAAATTAGGATATTTAAACTTATTACGGACAGAAGTGTATAAGTGTATTTTTAGCGATTGGCACAATGGCTTTCGTACTGTAACCTGCGGTAATGTGGGCACATCAATATAATTACCCAATTGGGTGTAGGGAATAGCACGTTCAAATCCGGCACGCCCGGGAGCAATATCGGCCCGGGTTCGACCCCAGGGCAAGGAGGGATGACGGGGCACCAATCCCCATAACTGTTCGCCATTGATCAATGACCAGTAATTGGGGCACTTGGTTGTAAACCGCTTGATGGATCGTGTTCCAGGGAAATCTAATAATGTTTCGGATGAGCTGTTTGAACATCATATTACTCTATATGTCTCACCATCAACCCAAACATCGTTTCACATCTGTTTCATCAAACTGACATCCAGGTTTCATCAACAAACTCTCATCCAAATGTGTTTGCTTTCAGTGCGGTACTCGGTGGAGTGTGGAGGAGGGAGCATGGTAGTGAGGGTACCAGTGTCTGGGGTGAAGCAGGTGGAGCTGGACAAATGGGGAGCTCTGCCAGGGTGTGGAGCCAGGCTCCACCACTCCCACTACACCCTCACACTACCCCTCGACGACACCTTGGCTTGCGGTACCACCAGAGTCAGGAACAAGCTCACGGTGAGAATCTATCTGTTAAATTAATTATCGCACCCCCATACCCTATCTGTTGATGGTAGCGGAAGCCGGCCCCCCTCTCCTAATCCATCTAGTGGCTGGCGGATTGTCCCATGCCAATCCAGTGGGCTTTGGCCATACCCAATCTGTGTGGACGGTGAAGCCCACATACCTATCTTGTTAGGCTTCCATGACTATTGACAGCAGCGGACCTCACAACTTTAAGGCATATGACAGGAATTTGTTGAATGTTTCACTCTGATGAAGCTGTCTGCAGCTTCATCAGAGTGAAACTACTACATGCACTGGTGAAGCTGTTTGCATGGCTACTTCAACCAATCTGGTGAAGCTGGCTGCATATTTTTTTCCATTAACTGCTACTATATCAGCACCTCTAGTTGTTTTCACCACTTTTGTCCAGTAAGGACTAAGATATCACCATCCTCATTCACTGCTAAGATATCATCCCCTTCACCTGTCACTGCTTCACCAGTAACTGCCAAGATATCATCATCTTCAGAAACTACCATTACCGCCAGTAACTAGTAAGATCTCACCACCTCCAGTAAATACTAAGATATCACCACCTCCAGTAAATACTAAGATATCACCATCTCCAGTAAATACTAAGATATCACCACCTCCAGTAACTACTAAGATATCACCACCTCCAGCAGTACCTAAAATGTGTTGCAATTGTGGACAGGGGGAGGAGCTGTTCTACCACCGGGTGGCCATCACATCATCCGAGGGAAGGCAGGTGGTACTGGTCAAGTGTCAGGTCGCCCCGAACAACGCCACCCACGACAACATCGTCAAGAGAGATGTTCTTCCGCCTGAGTTCGTGGAACCAGAGTACGTAGTACAGTGAACCTGACGAGCTAGAGTACACAACCCAGTCAACCATACGAGCCACAATACAGTCAACCATATGAGCCAGAATACACAATACAGTCAACCATACGAGCCAGAATACACAATACAGTCAACGTGACGAATCAGAATACACAATACAGTCAACCATACGAGCCAGAATACACAATACAGTCAGCCATACGAGCCAGAATACACAACCCAGTCAACCATACGAGCCAGAATACACAATACAGTCAACCATACGAGCCAGAATACACACCACAGTCAACCATACGAGCCAGAATACACAATACAGTCAACGTGATGAATCAGAATACACAATACAGTCAACCATACGAGCCAGAATACACACCACAGTCAACCATACGAGCCAGAATACACAATACAGTCAACCTGCCACTTGTCTCAGGCTACGATGTACCCATTAATACAAATGTAGTAATAGGTGTTGTTTTTACTGTATTTTGTATTCCACGTTGTAAATTTATATATGTAATTTCCCCATTCCTATCCTCTGGGTCTTGAATTTCTCCAGTGGAGTCAAAACTGCTTTGCATGTAAATGCATTTGTGTTGAAATGCCTGGCAGTTAACCTTCGAGATTAGGATATGTCTAGATTACCAATAGAGCTTTTTCACTATGATATAATGTTTAAAATCTACATGTAAAATATGTAAGAATGATTCTAGATCTAGAAAAAAAGAGATATTGCATCTATATATAAGAATGTTGAAAGATATAATGAACTTATTCCGGCAGCTACATCGAGATCACGTCTGAGGTGACAGGGACCGCGCCCATCCCCATCCTGGGAGTGGGCGTGCGGCAGGACGGGCAGCTGGTTGGCGGCCAGATTAACGTTCGTCCCGGCACACCACTCACCATGGAGGTTTGTCTATAATGTTTACTTGTAGTTAGATATGTGTGTATTTGAATGTATGTCATTCACTAGGGTAATAGGAGCCTTGAACCCGTGACCTCCAGCATGAGAGACGAGTGCTTTGTCGATTGGGCCACGAGCTAGCTTGCAATATGGAAGGTGAATGAAATTTTACTATTCACAATAAAGGCTTAAAGTTTCAGTTTGGGCACCGGTTTTGTGCCTCTGAAACCCTTCCTTATTGTGGCTACCCCGTGGCCCAGTCGGTAGATTACTCGTCTTTCATTCGTATAATGTTGTGATCAACACAAAGCAACTTTGGAAAAAATAGTAGAGATTTAATAGTAAAGTAGGCTGCCCTTGACACATTTGCTCCCAATACACACATCCCTAACAGCTGGAGGATGACATTCCAGCTGCACTGATACAGGCTTGGTGTAGCTGGGCTTATGTGATGCATAGATCACGTTAATCTGATTTCTTTGAGCATAATGTTTATTATTATTCTGCATGTTATCAGGTATACCTGGATGACACTTCAGCAGGCACCTATGGCATTTTGATGAGCTACATGGAGGTGACGGACACGGAAAACAAGAAAGAAACCATTATTTTCAATGGGTAAGGGAGATGGCCAGATATAACACTTTTACCGTGGCTTGGGTGCTAAATTAAGTGATTCTTGATGGTTATACCTATAGTGTACCTGAGGTTCTGATTGTCAAGTGAATAATAATTCTCTTGTAATATATCATGACACTAAATTCCTTGCACAATGGAACTGCACAAATATAAAAGGACGTTCAAGGGGGTCGAACCTGAGGAGTTATGAGGAACCTGAGTTCCCTGAGGATCCAGGGATATGTATCCATTGGATCCAGGGATGCATTGTATGGCGTCAATGTTTGTCTCAATAAATTCCTTGCTAAATTAAGTGCCGTTTCTTACAGATGTTCTGTTGACCCTGTGCTGTTCGACAACTTTGTCACAACAACGGGTGACTATGTTTCTGCCAAGTTCCGAGCATTTAAGTTCCCCGAGACAAACTACGTCTTGTTCCGTGGAACTGTAGACATCTGCTTGGACAGGTGTCAGGGGGTGAGTCAGCTGCTTTGACATTTCTCTTGTTATCTTGTAATGTACAATTACAAGATAACAAGATCTTATCTATTTGTATTATTTGTAAGATCTGTTTAAGATCTATTTGTAATTGTTAATTTCTTTTATTTGACAGCACATACATAGGTACATTGTCTTTTTAGAGGAATTTGTTTTATAACTTATGTAGGCATATTCTTTAACTCAAAGAAAATTTCCTAAGATTAGAGTCTTGTTCTGCATGACTTCCCCCTTTTAATATGTATATTTAATATCTTGTACTCCGTACATAAATAACATTTTTCATCAATTTTTCAAATGGATCAACCAATTTGAGAAATCAAATAAGCACTCTTAAGAAAGGGCAGAACTTATACTAAAGATATAATGTAATTTTGTTTCCCTCAAACACACATTTAATTATAATATGTATGCACTTCAGTGTATGACTTAATGACACTAAACAAAATTAAATGAAGAAATCCACAAGGGCCGTGACGAGAATTTGAAGAATCCTCATCACAACCCTTGTGGATTTGCTCATTTGATGCATCACGCTATTGTGATTTTTGTGTACTAAAAGGAAATGTATATGTTTATCTCTCAGAATGTTTGGTAATATGTTTATTGTTTGTGATGTGTGCCTATGTATGTATTAACACGATGTACTGAACGGGGTGAGAATAGCTCGAGCTACCTCATCCCTTTGTGTGTATTTTACCTCAATAAACTTATTTCAATTTCAATTTCTGTGTACTAAACAATATTATTCAACAGATTGCGTGCAGTAATGGTCAACTTGGCTTCGGGCGGCGGCGGCGTGAAGTTGTCGGCCAGTCTGTTGACCCGAACAAGATATTCGAAGTCACGATGACCACTTTCTTAAAACTGGACGAAACACTCAACAGTACAAGCAAAGCAGGCCTTACAGACTTGGCCAAGGACATGGTAGGCCAAGTAACTAAAGGTGTAGCAGCAGTTGAGCGCGCCCTTGTAGACGCAGAGTCATCTCTGCCTTGGAGCCGGTCAGCGGCTGGGGGCGACCCCCCATTCCAGTCTAGTGAAGGAAACGAGCCAGTATTTATTTACTACAGTCACAATGGTGTACACATTTACACTCAAAGTCTGTTCTTTGTGATGGTAGCTGCCCTTCTTGTGGTCTTTGGCCACTAAGGCTTTTCAAGAACGACTGTTTGAAATAAACCTGGATATGTGTGGGTGCAATTATTAATCACTGGTTAATGAACAACACTATCTGATTGCACTTCAGCTCAATACTTGCTTTACCTACTATTTGTCAGTGTTCAAAATAAGTTATTCACTGATCTACATAGGTTTTCAAAAAGTTTGCATTTCTCTTTTTTATATCTTTATATATGTATACACAAGCACAAACTCTTGTATATGTGTATGAAAGAATCAAGGCAGAAACTTAAATATTTTGCTTAAGCATTTTCGTGTTCTTCAGTACATCTCTCTGAAGATTTTGATGAACTGTGTATAATTTCTTACCCAAGCAAAACATAAAGTTTAGTCTGGTTTCTATCATTACACGTTCTGAAATTTTTGCATTACATGCATATATATATATATATATATATATATATATATATATATATATATATATATATATATATATATATATATATATATATATATATACACACTTAAGTTAAATAGTTAAAGTTCCCTAAAAAGCCAATTTTTTTAAACATTAAAATATGTATCTAATGGAATGATAGGCTTTTTCACTATAATTTACATGATAGGGATATTTTTTGTTCAAAATTGATTTTGAAGCCTGACCTAAGCCAGAAATTAATATTCTCAACATAACATTTTTAATATATTTAGGATAAGCTAATTGTAAAATGAATACAGTATTTAAAAATATACAAAATCGTGCTAGCTGCTACATAAACTAAAATTCATTACTAATAAGTTTATTGTATTTTTTATGTACTGTATTGATTGATACATTCAGTTTAACCTATGATAGGTATTTTGTATATTTTGAACCAAAATTAACTTAAAAGTAACCAGACATAACTTGAAAGGACTCATTATTCCTCAGTGCTGGATATTAAAAAACATTATTTCATTAATTATTCATGTATGAGAGTATCATGATATTTATACAAAGACCAGCTAGGATACAATGAAACTACTTAATCGTATATAGCAAACCTTGCAAACTAGACCCAGTTGGACAGTTTTGCCTAAAGAGCGACACACACACACACACACACACACACACACACACACACACACACACACACACACACACACACACACACACACACACACACACACACAATTAGAGCCAACTTCTCTCTCAAATGGGGCAATGGGCTGACCGTAACCTGCCTGTGACAGTCCCTACCACCCCTCACCATTCACCCTGCAAAGTTTGGTTAGGCTATTACCCAAGCATCTGGCTTCCATCCATGGGGAAAGACATTTCATATATATATATATATATATATATATATATATATATATATATATATATATATATATATTAGTATATTTTGGTAGCAGTCTTTCCTGTAGACATATATTATTAAATATGACCGAAAAAGTAAGATTATTTATTAATTAATTATTAATTAATAGAATTATTAATCTTACTTTTTCGGTCATATTTAATATATATATATATATATATATATATATATATATATATATATATATATATATATCAATATATATAATATATATATTTTTGTATCAACCCATGTATATCTTGTAACCATCAAATGCATAATAAAGCACAAAAAATAAAAAAGGAAGGGGGGTGGTAGGAGAAAAGCACACAGAAACTGTATTGGAGGGGATCTAAACATTCCCTCTAATGCGTTATGCGTGGTTTCCTCCGAGGCTATGGGTCCCCCTTCTTCCAGCTAGAGGTGGTACTTTTATCTATATATATATATATATAACTGTGTTTCTAAATATATATAGGGGGTTCCACCTATTCACTTTTAAGGACCCTCAGCCTTAAAAAAGAGGATATGTAGCATTCGGGGAGCCTTGTGAGGCACTGCGTACACACTCATATTTTCTTCTTCTACCACCCCTATATATACGGTATATATAAAATATCACACACATTTATACACATTTACACACATTCATAAAAGGCAAGTGGGGTGAACTGAACTTTCCCTAAGCTTTAAAAATCATAATTTTGTTAATTGTAACTAAAAAATATGGCATTTTATATGTGTAATTTTGTGTGTTGTATGTTTAAGGCTAATTACCATTGACTTACCGTCATCAGACAGTTATTACCCCCCCCCAAAATTTTAGTCTTCACTTATAATTACTGTAAAGTAGTTGAATAATCTTCACTGAAACCCTCTAAATAAACGCCCATTTTTTACAAGTTAAAGATAATTTTGTCTCCACAATATAACTCGGTCTTTATCAGTCTAAATATGTTTGCAAGTGAATATTGTACAGTATTGTATTGTCTCAAGTTTACGTGCCACAGTAGCGTGTATCCTCTATGGATGGTGTAAGAAGTGTCATAATTAGGATATATAAGTGAGATTCGTTCTTATGTCAATTAAGTCTATCGCGCATTTTCTTCTCTTAATAAATGGGAATTTAGTTAATTCATCTTGAGGTTATCTTGAGATGATTTCGGGGCTTTAGTGTCTAAATGTATGGCTTTAATGTATGGCTTTACTGCTAGGTAACAGGGGCATTCAGGGTGAAAGAAACTTTGCCCATTTGTTTCTGCCTCGTGCGGGAATCGAACCCGCGCCACAAAATTACGAGTCCTGCGCGCTATCCACCAGGCTGCGAGGCCCCCTATTCATGGTTCAATATTCTTTACAACTTGTGAAATCGTGACCTGAGTGCTGGTGATAACTGCACTCTTTATTCTCACGTGTTGTGTCATTATAGATTTCTTGTAGATTTAAATTAAAGTTGTCTAATGGATGAAATTTAAATATATAAGTGTTTTCAACAATTTATCTGCATTTAAATTTAGTTTAATTCTTCTAAATTAGATATAAAAAAAACTGTTGCAATATATATATTTTTGTCATTTGATCTATTGCTTCTATAATGGTGATGGGAGAACACAGAATGTTGTATTTTGTGTCACTGTCAACTGTCTACTGCCTTTGCTCATACTGTTGCCTCCCGGGCTGCCCTCATCCCTCCTGACCTTCTGTGTGAGTGATGGATACTGGCCACCAATGTTTACGATGGATCCACCATACATGTTCCAGGATAATGCCACCAATGTTTACATTGGATCCACCATACATGTTCCAGGATAATGCCTGCAATGTTTACAATGGATCCACCATACATGTTCCAGGATAATACCTGCAATGTTTGCAATGGATCCACCATACATGTTCCAGGATAATGCCTGCAATGTTTGCAATGGATCCACCATACATGTTCCAGGATAATGCCTGCAATGTTTGCAATGGATCCACCATTCATGTTCCAGGATAATGCCTGCAATGGATCCACCATACATGTTCCAGGATAATGCCCGCAATGTTTGCAATGGATCCACCATACATGTTCCAGGATAATGCCCGCAATGTTTGCAATGGATCCACCATACATGTTCTAGGATAATGGCCAACTTTTGGGGGTACATAAGATTCACAGTACTTCAGCTATAACTGAGGGCCTCGGTAACACATGTTGCTTCACATTCTGGTAAGAGGGAAGGAAGGTGCCTGAAGGTCCGGGTGCAGGGCAGCCTGGATGAGACTTGGCAGTGCCACGGACAGTTGCAACCACGAGGTATCTAGTTATTAACTGTCCTTGACACTGGAGTCTGCCAACCGCTAGCCTCACGGCCGTTATGTAACAGCGACTAACAAAGTGCTTGTACAGCTGTACAGTAGAATAAATATCCTGTAACATTCTAATGTAAAATAAACTGTGATAGTTTCCTAGACTTTTATTGTAGACACGAATCTTGCATTAAATACTACACATGGTTTCAGTAAATTATCATATTTCGTCATGGGAAAAGTATGATATATCTCTGAATTACAAAAGTTGTTAAAAACTCGAACACTGAATGTAGTGAAACTCCACTTTTTGTGGACCCCCCAAGCATTTGAGAATTGCTAATCACCTATCAGCAGACACAACAACACTCCAGTGTTTCAGAAGACGTCCGGACGTCCCGCAGTCAACACTGACCATTCTCAGGACAGTCTCCTACAATAACTGTGTAGCCAAGAGGAGTCTTGACCCCCCGACTGTGTGCTACCCAACATAGAGTTAAGTATCAGTTGTAGTTTGACCAGCCACATATGTTTACAAAGTTCTAGAGTAGGGCGCCGGGACAGAGAGGTTCAAAGGGTACTGAAATATGTACTTATACTAGTTATTGAAGGCAAGAAGTAGACACGCTTGTTTTTCTCAAATACCAATTTTATTTACAAGAGACATGGAAGTGGATACTGGAATTTTAGGATAGAACCATGGCTAGCACTTGACTATATATAGCCTAAAATGTCTTAGAGAACCTGTAGACATAGCCTAGCTTAAATTTGAAATGTGTACCACAGGCTACTCTTCACAGCTTAGGTGTTAGATGCGTGTACACAGAGTGCAGTTGGCCTAAAGTAATCAATTTCTGGATAAATCTTGTGTTAGTGGTGTCTTAGATTCAGTTCTAGTAACTCTTGTGTATTACTGCACAATGACCGTTGTGTGATAATGGATTACATAGGGCGACGAACGCCTGAGACACGGTATATGAGGGCTGCCACTTTGTTTATCTCGCGACCACCAATCAGAAGGAAGCCGGCGAAAATGCTTCGTTTCTATTGGCTAATTTGTTGCTCGGGCGGTTCGTCATGAGAGCGATAGTCTACATATAGTTCCTTATAGTATGGTGCATAATTTGTACACATAATTTATGCAAATCTCGTGTCACTGGACAATTGTAAATTCCTAACAAAATGTGTATTAGCAGACTCTCTGAATACGGTGAACTTTTGTAATATATCTTGTATAAGGATTTCAAGTTACTCGGTGGGAGGAAAGACCCGAGGTAGGAGGCATGTGAAAATCGTATCAAGATACATTTAGTCACAACCCAAACTCCAATTCAAAAATTCAATGCCTTTTTATTTGATTTATATGGCGCCAGAAGCACATATCAGCATGCCTATATTTGACGTTCACATCAATAGAATTACATTTGAAATGGAGTATTGATTTCACGTAGCTGTCATCACTTACATATTATTAGTGTTAAAGACTTAACACTGTAACCCCACAACAAACTAACTCCTGGTACCTATTTACTGCTAGGTGAATAGGTGCATGAGATGATAGGAAACGTGCCCAACCATTTCTGTCCCGTCTGGTATACGAACACTTAATTCTCAACTGTGAATTGAGAAGGAACCCGACTTGCCTACCGGGACCACCAAACTTACCCTGATTACTTACCTCACATAGGACCGTGAAGAATGCTGTTATTCGCGCAGGATAAATGGCTTTTATTAGCTGATAATAAAACAATCCAATTGTTAATCTTTGCTTTATTTTCCCAGTTTCTACATGAGGATTATGAGGGGGTGAAGCAACGATGTCGCCAAGAGCTGTTATAAGACAGGCAGAGAGATCTTAGACATATAGTATACTTGCTAGGGAGTCAGTAGCTTAGCTAGTTACTACTTTAATAACCTTCCAGAGATCGATAGGCCTTCAACCCAATACCATTGGCAGTAACTAGTGAGAGACAACCTCTCTGATGAGCAATAAATGTATGTCTTGCCAAAAAATGTTTTCTAAAACATTACAGTCTTTACATCGATTGTCTTAAACCTGTGTGTAGGTAGCCATATATATTCATTCATTTTAAATTACTGGATTCGATTATTCAATTAAATTAAAATATATTTTAATGGTCTTCTTAGAATTTTTTGGCTAAACAATAAATGTCAATAATTTTATGTGACAACAATTTGGAAAATTATAAATTTAACTTTTCAGATGAGCCTAGGCACTGGTTTATGGTTTGAATACTCAATATTAATGACTTATGTGTCTTTTTCACGCGTACGTAAACCTTGTTGAGATACGGTTTATTAAAGATGAGATTTTCAATTATAAATGTGCTTTCATTACCTACTTTGGTATAGGCTATCAGTACCTACTTTGGTATAGGGTGGCATTACCTCCTTTGGTATAGCCTATCATTCCCTCTGAATGACAGCTATCATTCCCACTTTAATCCCACAGGTATGCATCTCTCCCCACACAATAGTCATTAGTATTCAAATCATACGGGCCGCTCCAAGCATCAGCCTAGTGGACCAAACTCTCACAAGTCCAATCTGGCCTTGGGCCGGGCTTGGGAAGTAGAACTCCCAGAACCCCATCAAGCAGGTAGCATACAATAGCCGATGAAAACACACACCATTTGGGTGAAAGCCTGACATCAACCTCCTCCCTAGCAAGTTACTGAAGTTCATCTCAGCCTGACAAAACAACTTTCAGCGCCTCGTGTCATCAGGCTGTTTGGAACCATTTTATCACTGCGTTTAAGGAAGCCCAAAGTACATTGCATATGTTTATACATGAATTTCCTGACCTATATATATATATTTATATATGGTATATGAATAAGAAAATAAATTATGCTCTATGGGAACTAATTTATAATTAATATATATGTATATATATTTATATATAATATATATATAACAATTGCAACATATTAAACTGATCCACACATTTGCATTCACGAAATATCTCAAAACACAAAATAGTGAAAAGCCACATGAATTCCTCATGGGATAGCGAGACGTCAGATCCCTAAAATCCTATCCTTGGAACAGGACCTTATCCTTGGAGCAGCCTCCAAGGATAAGAGGGGTCTCATCCTTAGAGGAGGGTCCCGTCATTGGAAGAGAGCCATATCCTTGGAGGATGATCTCATTCCTGAAGGAGGACCAGTCTTACAGAATGAAGAGTTCGTACTCCCATGAGGAGGTAGACATCCTACTCCCAAGAGAAGGCGGTTCTACTCCAAGGAGCAGGAGCTCCTACTCCCAGGAGAAGGACCCACTTCCAGAAAAGGCGGAACAGCTCCCCTGAAAAGGGGGATCTTGAGACATTTAGCACAACCACGCCAGCACACAGACTTACAGAAGGGATCGTTAAAGCTGCTTTAGCTGCGACAGAGTTTCAAGAAGTCGAAGGTCGTTGTATCTCAAACATTCAGGTTCTTAGCTCTTGCCATTAGTCTTTGGCGAAGAGCTACGGCTACTACTGCTGCCTCCTGTCGGGGAAACCTTGTAGTCGTCACACCAGGAGCACTGAACGGCACTGTGGCCTTTGCATTTCTGTCGGACGGGAGAGCGCTGGTGGATGGTATGGGCTTGGCAGCAGGGGCCCAGGTTGGTCTCCGGTGGCAGTGGGGAGGTACTGGGGGAGGGCTGAGGCGACCGACGCTCCACTATCTTTTCCACAATTCTTGATGGTGACGTCCCCTTTAGCCGCAGTGTTGTATTCCAGTTCCGGAACCTGTTAACATCACATGTGGTTAGGGCATGCTTTGGTGTTTGTTCGTATGATCGCGCGTATGTTAAACAACACTACACATACATGAAACAGATTCACATATTTTCATAAACGAAATATCTCATAAAGGAAAACCAAACATCCTCATGAGTATATAGAAGAAAAATTCATACCTGACAAACCTATTAGAGTTCGACTACATAATTGATATCAAACAAGAAACGGGGTGCAGACTGTACATTCCTCGAATGAAGACTGAGAGCCGGAGCCCAAGAGCTGAACCCCATACCCCCACAAGCACATATATAAATGTAACTATTAAATATAAAACATATCTCCGTTTTTTTCTGACTTTCTCCTTGCACGTACTAGGAAGGCCAGGTGTTGGGGAACCTGGCACTCCCCAACGCGGGGAGTGCCACACAGTGCCGGGACAGGAGGATGATTGGCAGCCTCAGTGTGATATTGTGCCACTTTTCCCCTTGCTCTGCCTCTCAAGGGGAAGAGACTCTCCCACGCCTCTTCCCCTCGCTTCCGCCCACCCTCTTGATGTCCTATTTTGCAGCGTTTTTTTTTTTTTACATTTCTAATTAATTATTATACAGCTGAAGTTAGCTATTTTCTTGTGTATAATACTTGGAAAATTAATTAAGTAGTTCAAGTTCAAGTATGTTTATTGAGACAAGAAAGAAATACATCTCAAAGGGATAGAGTAGCTTAGGCTATTTCTACCTCCCTAAAGTAGTTCATCTTGACGGTAAATCAAAAGATAATAATTCGATTTCTAATGTTATCAACAAATAAAAGGCTTCAATTGGTGTATAATACTACAATATTTAGTGTGACTTGGAGTGTATATATGCAAAATTCCAGCTGTATCTTAGTACTTCCCATTTTAAATACATCACAAATTAGCCTTTAGACTTTCTTACGGATTGTACATGTGGTTTGTAAATATATAATGTTCAAGTACTTTGAACTCTATGCTAAATAGGTTATTACTTTTGTTATGTATATAATGTTGGTTTATTGTGCTTTCAATATACACGATAAATGCACTATATGTGACTAATAAAAAATGTTTCACAAATGTAATGAAATATAAATACATGCCAACTGAACTGCAACATTATGGAAACTATGCACAAAATTTTAATATAGGATATATTTATTCTGATAACATCTATTTATTTTAACAGCCGGCAGATGTTAACTGATTGTCGGTCAACAGAATGTAGCCAGGTCTTCACATTATCATAAAACTGTGGATAGTAATTGTTAAAAACTTTTTCATGCCTGAGATACCGGAGGTAATACCCAAAATTTAGAAGGTTTATCTTTTTTTTTTTTTTTTTTTTTTTTTTTTTTTTTTTTTTTTGAGATATATACAAGAGTTGTTATATTCTTGTACAGCCACTAGTACGCGTAGCGTTTCGGGCAAGTCCTTAATCCTATGGTCCCTGGAATACGATCCCCTGCCGCGAAGAATCGTTTTTTCATCCAAGTACACATTTTACTGTTGCGTTAAACAGAGGCTACAGTTAAGGAATTGCGCCCAGTAAATCCTCCCCGGCCAGGATACGAACCCATGACATAGCGCTCGCGGAACGCCAGGCGAGTGTCTTACCACTACACCACGGAGACTGCTAACTTAGCTTAGTACTGGATTTCGGAAACAGCCTAGTGCGATATAAGGTGAGAGATTCAATGAGTAAGTACATGTTGAGAATATTGATGCCAAATATCATCCTATAATCACGTTCTAGTAAATTATTTTAGATTTTCATTGAATGACAACAATCGATAGAGCATTTCACTGACAAGACCCAAAGCAGGAAAGACATTCCAGCACTTACGTGATGTCTAAGGTACTTCAAGTTGCTTACACGAGGATGTCAAGCCCTTTGGTGTGACTTATAATAAGTGAGAGCAAGAGATAGAGACTAACCTGACGGGAAGGACAGGTTCGTCGACCAGTTCGTCAAAGACTCCCTGCAGGAGGAATGCCAGGGGCCAGGAGATCCAGGAGGAGCTGCAACACACGACAAAGGATTATGGGGTTATCAGAGGACACAGGCTATTAGCAGGCCTGTGCTGAACATGTATGTAGTAAGGAGAAGGTTATACACCCTAACCTGGGGATGTGCCCTATGGTTCTATCCTGGAGATGTGCCCTATGGTTTTAACCTTGGGATGTGCCCTATGGTTCTATCCTGGGGATGTGCCCTATGGTTCTAACCTGGGGATGTGCCCTATGGTTCTATCCTGGGGATGTGCCCTATGGTTTTAACCTTGGGATGTGCCCTATGGTTCTATCCTGGGGATGTGCCCTATGGTTCTAACCTGGGGATGTGCCCTATGGTTCTATCCTGGGGATGTGCCCTATGGTTTTAACCTTGGGATGTGCCCTATGGTTCTAACCTGGGGATGTGCTCAATGGTACTAACCTGGGGATGTGCTCAATGGTTCTATCCTGGGGATGTGCCCTATGGTTCTAACCTGGGGATGTGCCCTATGGTTCTAACCTGGGGATGTGCTCAATGGTACTAACCTGGGGATGTGCTCAATGGTTCTATCCTGGGGATGTGCCCTATGGTTCTAACCTGGGGATGTGCCCTATGGTTCTAACCTGGGGATGTGCCCTATGGTTCTAACCTGGGGATGTGCCCTATGGTTCTAACCTGGGGATGTGCCCTATGGTTCTAACCTGGGGATGTGCCCTATGGTTCTAACCTGGGGATGTGCCCTATGGTTCTAACCTGGGGATGTGCCCTATGGTTCTAACCTGGGGATGTGCCCTATGGTTCTAACCTGGGGATGTGCCCTATGGTTCTAACCTGGGGATGTGCCCTATGGTTCTATCCTGGGGATGTGCCCTATGGTTCTAACCTGGGGATGTGCCCTATGGTTCTAACCTGGGGATGTGCCCTATGGTTCTAACCTGGGGATGTGCCCTATGGTTCTAACCTGGGGATGTGCCCTATGGTTCTATCCTGGGGATGTGCCCTATGGTTCTAACCTGGGGATGTGCCCTATGGTTCTAACCTGGGGATGTGCCCTATGGTTCTATCCTGGGGATGTGCCCTATGGTTCTAACCTGGGGATGTGCCCTATGGTTCTAACCTGGGGATGTGCCCTATGGTTCTAACCTGGGGATGTGCCCTATGGTTCTAACCTGGGGATGTGCCCTATGGTTCTAACCTGGGGATGTGCCCTATGGTTCTAACCTGGGGATGTGCTCAATAGTTCTAACCTGGGGATGTGTCCTATGGTTCTATCCTGGGGATGTGCCCTATGGTTCTAACCTGGGGATGTGTCCTATGGTTCTATCCTGGGGATGTCCTATGGTTCTATCCTGGGGATGTGCCGTATGGTTCTATCCTGGGGATGTGCCCTATGGTTCTATCCTGGGGATGTGCCCTATGGTTCTATCCTGGGGATGTGCCCTATGGTTCTATCCTGGGGATGTGCCCTATGGTTCTATCCTGGGGATGTGCCCTATGGTTCTATCCTGGGGATGTGCCCTATGGTTCTATCCTGGGGATGTGCCCTATGGTTCTATCCTGGGGATGTGCCCTATGGTTCTATCCTGGGGATGTGCCCTATGGTTCTATCCTGGGGATGTGCCCTATACTTCTAACCTGGCGACGTGTTATAGGTTGTGACTTGGAGGATGTGTCATAGGCTATCCTGGAGTTGTTTCCATAGATGTGGCTTTTACTATATTCTGTCGTGACATAACGCTCGTGGATATCATAAATAATTTTCGCTGCACATACATAAGGGATAAAAATGTTTTGTCTTAAGAACCACGTCAATAACCCCCTTAGACTGTCTTAGGCTGCCTGGGTAAAATGGAAACCTGATAGAAATGTAAGCTCTACAATCCTCAATGGAGTTTTTTTTTTTTTTTTTTGAGATATATACAAGAGTTGTTACATTTTTGTACAGCCACTAGTACGCGTAGCGTTTCGGGCAAGTCCTTAATCCTATGGTCCCTGGAATACGATCCCCTGCCGCGAAGAATCGTTTTTTCATCCAAGTACACATTTTACTGTTGCGTTAAACAGAGGCTATAGTTAAGGAATTGCGCCCAGTAAATCCTCCCCGGCCAGGATACGAACCCATGACATAGCGCTCGCGGAACGCCAGGCGAGTGTCGTCTGCTTAGAAACTTTGGAGGCTTTGGCAGGTCATCAGTGACCTGTGTGTCACACCTTGTATGTACTTGAATAAACATTTGATTTTTTTTAATTTTGTGGAGAGTGCTGGTGTGTAATTAATTACAGTGAATTCGTTAAACGAAGCATATTTGTAATCAGTCATTTTCATAAGTTAATGTTATGACTTGTACATTCGGGTAAAGAAAAGTCATGCATACAGTCTTCCTATTTGTGAATGGTTGAAAGATATAGTTTGTTAACAAAATTACAATACTAAATTTTGTTATTATGGTATAAAGATTGAAATGTCAACTTCGAGAATTTCGCGGGCTGTCATCCTTACACGTTGCTCTACAAAATTGTTTAAACTGTGCCTTATAATATAGTAGCTTCAAACTGTACCGTTTTGGTACATTTGTACCGCAGGTACAAATTGGTACCAAAGTACAGAGCACTTGTTACCCCGCCCTGACAGGTAGGGGGTTAGAAATTGTTCTAGAAATTCTCGTACCCCAAACAACTGTGAATCGGCGGCTGGTCAACGAAAAACCAGACAGTGTTTACAAAAGCTAATTAATTCGTAATTAAATTAAAAACGCGAGATAACTACTGCAATTTGATTCGAACACATTAAATAAAATAAGCACTTGCTTGCTTTGACGCTAGGCTGTGCTGAAACACCACCAACCGGCTTTAAATGGGTTCATTAGCAGATTTATTTGGAAACTCGAGACAAAAGCCGTCTAGATCGTCATAATTTGACGGGTCACGAGGTAAGTGCGGGCGACGCCTCCACAGATCACGCAGGGTCCTGCCGCACCTCCACAGATCTCCAGTATTGGCTCTTTATACTGGTAATGGCTCAAAAGCGCCACCACTTACGAACTATTCATGCCCGTGCCACCTTTTGGGTGGCTTAATCTTCACCAATCGAGTGTTTATTATTAGTTTCGCGTCTATCAAAATCTTAAAAGTGCATTGTGAACCATAGACAAGACACGGTATTACTAAGTGTTAACGAGACTTAAATGTTTATTCTTAAGAAAATTTAGTGATTTACTGGACATAAAAAGGTGGAAATTGGCTTTTGAGAATTGGTGGAACGAGCACAACCATCCTTCAGGAAAAGGTAAGCATCTTCTCGAGCCTCAAGTGTCACTTAAGTCTCGGCCTCTTGTATACCAACTTGGAGATGAATGCGAGCAATCTTATGATATATATATTGTATATGATTATACTGTGTATACAGGAATGTCAATAGGCACGTTAATAATTACTTTTTTTGTGTCATTACAGGTAAGGCTTTTTTAGCTCATCGCGGGACACGACTCCACCAGATTAAGGTATGTTCCTCTTGATTTTTGTTTCCGGTGGACTCTTTTTTTCGACAAAATATTGCAGGACACGCGGTTACCATTATATAATTATGGGTATCATATCCCTGTCATTGGGCCTTGGGGGGCGTCGAGGGGGTTCCGTGGTCCCCCCCCCCATTTACTGGTCCTTGGGGGGGGGGGCGCCGAGGCTCCCCCCCTTTACTGGTCCTGGGGGGTGCTGAGTCCCCACTTTTACTGGTCCTGGGGGGGTGCTGAGTCCCCACTTTTACTGGTCCTGGGGGGTGCTGAGCCCCCCCTTTACTGGTCCTGGGTGGTGCTGAGCCCCTCCTTTACTGGTCCTGGGGGTGCTGACCGCCCCCCCCCCTTTACTGGTCCTGGGGGCGCCGAGCCCTCCCTCCCTTTTCGGTCTTGGAGGCGTCGAGCCCCATCACCCCTTTCGGTCTTGGGGGCGTCGAGCCCCCCCCCCCCCATCCCCCCTTTTACTAGTCTTGCGGGAACGAGTGAACTTTGGAAACACTGCGTTTGAACACTACTCACGACATGTTAGCGAACACGTCGTTAGTAATGTTGACGCTGACGTCTCCGTGCCTCACACCACGACGGACGGCGCAAACCTTCTTCAGGAGAATTCAGGAGAAGGTATAAATATCACCTCGACCCTCAAGTGTCATCAACGTCTCCGCCTCTTGCATACCAATATGGTGACGTATGTGACAATTCGTATGATATATATGTGGTATATGATTATAATGTGCATACAGGAATTTCAATAGGCACATTAATAATTACTTTTTTTGTCATTTCAGATAAGTTTTTTTTTTTGTTTTTTTTTAGCTCACCGCGGGATACAACTCGACCAACTTAAGGTACGTTCCTGTTGCCCTTCGTTTCTTGTGGATTTTTTGTTTCAAAATATTAGAGGGGCTGGGGGCGCCAAGTCCACTTTTATTTTGCCTTGTCGCTTCCACTAAATTATTTTTTAAATTGTGATCATGTCACTCCAGCTGTTGCTTTACCTCAGTGACGTGAATTTATTTCATTAGTCTTCCCTTGCATGCTACTCTGTAAAACTCTCGTAGCTGCCTGGTATTATTGGGGTGGGAGGATAGGGGGGAGGTGGAAACGGCTCCGTGCTGGAGCTGCATAATATACAGAGTCTGACGTTCGTGGTGTCCAGTTTTTTAATTTAAAAATTTCCGACTTCGAAGGTAGTCCTAATATTGATAAAGTTAAACTTGATGCGAGCACCTGGTGGTCAATGCTGGTGCTTGTACTTTAAGACCTGTGCAGTTTGTGTAAATGTTTTCTCCTCCGAATGACAAGTGTGTTTATGTTGGGAGACCCGTCTCGGTGGTGCATCAATGTTGAGGGTGAGGCAAGAAGACTGAGTGTTGTTTCTTAGACACACTCAACATTTAGAGCTCAAAGTATACCATTTGTTCTGAAATCATTTATTACAGAGCAGTCAGAGATAATGAAGAATGTATACTAATTTATTTATAATTTATAACAGAGTTATCTCCTGCTTTCTCTCCTTTGA